CCGAGCGCGCCGCCGCGGTCGCGGCAGGCGGTTGGAGGGCGTGAGCACACGCCGGACACACCCCCGCCCTCTGGGGCTCCCCGCTTCTCCACTCTGGGAGCGGCCACAGGAGCCAGAAGTGGGGAGGAGCGCGGAAGCCGGCTAGAGGAAGGGCTAGGGGAGGGGAACTGAAGCGCGCGACCTACACTCCACACGCTCCGCCTCCAGAGCCGCAAGATGGCGGCCGCTGAGCCGCCCACTTCCCCTCCCCCGGTGGCCACGTGACCCCAAGGGCCTGGGGGGGGGGCGGGAGGATGGACCTGGAGGGAGAGAAAGGAGGAGCCAGAGCAAGGCTGTTCTTCCCGCGATGATCGTGGCCTCAGGACGCTGTGGGCTTTGAGGTTTTCGGGAGCAATTGTGCTCTTCTCCTGTCCCCCAACCCTATTAATTTAGGTGGGGACAATAAAAGGTTGTAAATGATGGGAATATAAAAAACTTCCCAAACATTAGGTGTGTCAGAGGTTAGCACCTCAGCAAGAGCGACCGCTGAAGTCCTGGCCTCCATAGATGCCCAGCGACAACCATGTTTACTTTTTTTTTCCAGTTTGCCTGATTTCTAGAGTATGAGATTGAGGATGGAAAAGTGTGGGAAGGGGTGAGAATGCAACCCAAAGCACACGTCAGAATACACTTGCAATCTCTCAACCAGAACGCTTAGGGTTATGAGGAAGGTCAGTCACCACCATGAGCCTGAGGCAGGATAGTGAGAAGCTAGGAAAATTCTTTGGCAAGTGGAACTGGGAAACTGAAACAGAGAGCTGAACAAGTTGGCTGAACAATTTATAGCCAGATAATAAATAAATCACAAGGTCTTAGCTTACACATTCCAGACTGTGCTGGGGCAGATCTGCCTCAGCCCAGGTCCATTTTTCTGTGAAATGCTTTGAAGGTGAAACTGATCAGAGAATTTTTAAAAATTTTTTAAATCCTCATCTGAGGATATTTTTTCTTCATTGCTTTTCAGAGAGCGTGGAAGAGAGAGAGAGGAGGAGAGAGAGAAACATTGATGTGAGAGAGATACATTGATTGGTTGCCTCCTGCAGGAGCCCCCAACCAGGGCGAGCCTGCAACTGAGGTACATGCCCTTGGCTGGAATTGAACCTTGGACCCTTCAGCCCGTGGGCCAATGCTCTAAGTACTGAGCCAAACTGGCTAGCGGCTATAGGCTCATTTTGATGCATGAGCATATTAAAGGACACACCTGGAAAGCTGGTGAATATTCTATTGAGATCCTCCCTTGAGACCTGCCCTAAAATTCCGCCCTTTGGAAAACAGATAAAAACACTTAAGACAAAGGAGCCAGCGCATGCTCTTTCTGGAGCACACCTGTGCCTTCCCCTCCCCACTTCTTTCCTCAGGAGCATAACTTTGCTTGCTTTCTCCTAAGCTGTATAAGTTCCCAGGAGACTTGTAACCAAGGGAGCAGCAGGCAGTTGCAACTTGTCCCACGCTAACCCCCTGAATCTGTCTTCAAGGACCCTTCTTTTGCCTTTGTAACTTGTTTCCTGAGTCCAAGCAGTACACCTGGCTCACT